GGCACAGGGCCTGCAGCTCCTGTCAGCCTGCATTGCCATTGCTCCCTGGATGTGGCTGCCATGATAGAGCTCTCACAATACCTACTTTACACTGACATTCTGAACACTGTGATATTAATATCAACATGTTCCATTAGTTTGTTAATGTTTTTATTACTTTTTTTTATTATGTGATTTTTAAAGCATTTGGGTATACAGTTGGCTCTAGGTTTCCACAGGGCATTGGTTCCACTAGTGCTCGAGTACTGAGATAAAATGGTTAGTATTAGCCGGGCTCAGTGGCTCAGCCTGTAATCCCAGCACTTTGGGAGGCTGAGGTGAGTGGATTGCATGAGCCCGCGGGTTCGAGACCCGCCTGGGCAACTTGGCGAGACCTCATCTTTACAATATATCAAAAAATTAGCCGGGCATGGTAGCGCGCGCCTGTAGTTCCGGCTACTCGGAAGGCTGAGGTGGAAGGATCGCCGGAGCCCAGCAGGTCGAGGCTGCGGTGGCCGGGAGTGGCCGCTGCACTCCAGTCTGGGTGACAGAGTGAGACTCTGACTCAAAAAAAAAAAAAAAAAAAAAATGGTTAGTATTTCATATGATCTATATTTTAAGTCATTCTAGATTACTTATAATACCTGATACAGTGTAAACAATTGTTTAGAGAACAATGACAAGAAAAAAGTGGGCACGTATCAGTGTAGATGCAGCCACTACAGCCACTGACTACATCTTTGATCCCTGTTGTTTTGATCCATGGATGTGGGGCCCATGGACATGGAGGCCCAACTGTGTTTAATTTGATATTAAGAGTTATTGAACAAAGAAGTCACACAAATTTATTTTTCGCAAAATGTTGCTATTTCATGAAGATACCTGTGTTTAGAAAATTACGTTCATTCAATGAGCTAAAGGATTAAATGGTTTGCATTAATTATAGAAATGTTGATTTTATTGAATTCAATTAACAATAAGTTGACAATGATCTCTCATTTAGAAGATCTGATACGAATTAAGCTTTACAACTAAATCCCATTAAATAGGGATCATGCTGAAGACACTTCACAGATATTTTATTGAAAGCAAACCCAAATAGTGTACTGGGCTTTAGAAGTGAGATCCATATCTCCATCTAGCCTACAGGGAAAAGTAATTGAAGGGAGAAGGATTTTTCTTCTATCGCTAATAATCTCTATTACTATTACTGAGCAAACATAAGTAATTAGCTTTATTCATGGTATCCCTTGAGGAAAAGAGTCGATTTGTTTATCTTCTACCAGTCAGATCTTTGGTTCAAATGGAATATTACTGGGAAGAATCACAGCCAATGAGCCAGAGGGACCAAGGGCAGTGTGGGTCTGAGGCAGTCCTCATCCATGTCTGTGAGTGGACACATGGACCATCCAAGCACAAGGGAGGGAACAGGCCATGGCACAAACTCCCCTTGTTCGGACCTTCCCATGCCAATAGCCATTTAATATCTTCAGAAGTGATAAAGACTGATGGAGCCTTTCAATAAACCACTGAACACCAGTCCTTACAAAAGAGAAATTTTAATCATGAAGACATTTAAAGTAAGTCGTAAAAACAACCTGTGAGACTTTGCTTATCCAGCGCCCTTTGAATGTCATGGCTCACATGTCACCATAGGGTCTTCTTTTACTATGTTAATTCCTGGCATGACCCTTTTCCATGACCCCTCTGGCTTGTGAGTGAGTGACTGCTGTAGGAGCCTCTGCCAGCCACACCATTCTTTCAGCAATGGTGAATGCTGTTTTGGGCTCACTGGAGAGAGTACGGCATGTGTGATGGCATCCAAGGCCACCTAAGACAATGAGTGTATCATGAGATGACTCAAAGGGAGTATCTGAGTAAACCCCTTCCCAGCAATACTGTCACAACCACAACTGGTTCCGGTTGGGAAAAAAGTTGCCATCCTGGCCCTCCAGGCTACATGGCCCAGGTGGCCAGTGTGTACCTGGAGGGGTAGGTTGTCTCCTGTGGTGAGGTCTCTTCTGTTGGAGGGAGCTGTGTCTGGCATGTCCTGGATGCCTACTTCAACGTGTGCCTCTCAGCATGCTCCTCTCAAGACCACATCACAGAAGGCAAGACAGTGCGTGCCTGCTGGGGAGGGGTAGCTGTGACCGCTGGAACTGAGGGCGAGGCAAGCACAAGGCTTCCACTGGAGACACAGGCTCCACGGGAGAGAGGATACTCATGCCCAAGGCCACTAGCCTGGTATCGAGTCCCACCTCACAGCATGGCAGGAAAGCGCATTTCCTAGAAAGCCAAAAGGGCTCGGAGGGTCCCTTAGAGGCCAAGGCAGGCTCTACCCATCCCTTTTAAGATTCCTACGCATCTAAGAGGAAAAGGACATGCAGGATGAGGGATCCAGAACTCCTGGCAACATGACCAACTGAAGGCAGAGGGAAAACTTCTAGCCTGGTGTTGAATCTCAGCAATCCGCGAGTGTATCTCTCTCCAGAGTCACCCTCTGCATGCTACATGCACAAGGCCAGTGCCACCCTTGGGGTTTCTTGTTTCTTAGCCTATCAATGTGCATTTTGTTACATATTCCTCTGCTCCAAGAGGGCCCAAGGTCACCTGACCAGTAGGAAACTGAGCCAGGGTGAGCCCTGACCTCAGGCCCCAAGCCCAGGTTCTTCCTATTCTGCAAGGACATCAGGCTTTTGGGGGTGGAAAAGGTCCAGTGAGTTTTGTTTTGGTTTGAGTAACACTCAGCTGCTATCTCTCAAAGCCAATAAATCGAGAGGCAGGTAAATGGTAGAAGGAGGTTTATTGCTGAATTAGAATCCAGGGAGCAGAGCCTGGCTTCTGGCCTTTCTAAAATGGGTCTGCTCTCCCTTCAGGTTTTACAGTCCACTTGTATAAGTTAACAGTTGTTTGTACCTGACTGGCAGAGCATTATATAGAACTTAAGTTACAGTTACACTTTGTCAATAATAGCATTTATGTTCCACATTTCCTGGTACCAGTTACCAGAGGTATCTCACAGCTTCCTATCAGTAACACCAGGCAGAAGTGCTCATCAAGTTTGCCATAGAGTAAAGGGAGTCAACAAGGTCTAAGACATCATTCATTACTACAAGTTGTTGTGAGTATGCAGAAGTTATACAAATCACAAGATTTATGATTACATTGATACTATATTATTAAAACCTATGACAACTAAGAAAAGGGAATAAGTAGGGATTCATTTCTCTCAGTTAATTGGGCACAGTCTGCAGGGAAGTTAAGGATTCTTTGAAGTTACTTACTGAGAGTACATAGGAGATAAGATGAAACACTCTTCTTTGTTAACCCTCAGGAATGTGGGTACATGCAGGCCTGCTCAAACACCCACCAGGCCCTTCTATAGGGGTTGTGGTAATATGCACAGATAACAGCAGGTCTCCATAAAAGGCATATTCTGGGACTCCGCCCCCACAATTCTGATACAGGAGTGTGAGCCTTAAGAATCCACCTTGTAAACAACATTCCTGCCAGGGCTTTATGTCTGCCCATGGACCACTCCGGGTAGTCTTGCCCCAAATCTGCCTGGAGGGTCTACTCTGCTATTCTTCATTTTTGTCATCAAGGCAGCTCGATTGCCAAGAGCCCTCATGCCACAGACCCACCTGCCAGCCCCACCACAACCTGTGTCTCGGGAGCCCTGCTGTCTCATCTGGCCTCTCAGGGGCCTGCTGCACCTCCAACAGCCTCAGACCTCAGCCTATCACCCACTCCCAATCTGCCCCCTCCTTCCTTCTCCTACCCAACACTCCTTCATTTCCTCCTTTTCCTTCGGATTCATTAATTCTTGCTAACGATGGCTATGAGTGACTTCATGTGTGACTCCTTATCAGATATTATTTTCAACGGCAGATCTGTGGCTGATAACCCTAATCAGAAGGAATCTCAATAGTGGCATTTGGGATGCAAAAAGGAGAACATTTTGCACCACCAACCCATAAGACCTGCCTTCCATGGCATCCTGTGCTTAACTCCAAAGCCAGAAAATCCCTCCTTGTCACCCTGCTATGGAGTACATTAGTTTCCACGAGGTTTACCCTTGCAGAAAATTAAGAGCCAGGAGTCATCACTTTTTATATAATATGAACAGATTTATTTATGTTCTCCATATTAGGCAATCCTAGTTATTCCAATTTTTCTTATATCTAGTTCCACAGATCTGCTAACTTCTTCCTCAAGGGCCAGCTAGTAAGTATTTTAGGCGTTATGGCCATATGGTCTCTGCAGCTGTAGCCTGAAAGCAGCCTGAAAGCAGCCACTGATGTAAACACGTGGACAATTCAACTCCAGTGAATTCTATTTACAAAACAAGCTGCAGCCCAGAGACCTATTTGCCTCTCCCGCAAATCCATTTTAAGACCTTCTTTAATTCCTTTCCTTTTTTTTCTTTTCTTCCTTTTTTTTTTTTTTTTTTTGGTGGGTCTCACTGTCATCCAGGCTGGAGAGCAATGGCACAACCTCCTGAGCTCAGGTGGTCCTCCCACTTCAGCTTCCCAAGTAGCTGGGACTACAGGCATGCACCATCACACCCAGTTAATACTTTTATTTTTTGTAGAGACGAAGTCTCGCTATGTTGCCCAAGCTGGTCTCGAACTCCTGGCCTCAAGTGATCCTCCTGTCTCAGCCTCCCAAAGTGCTGGGATTATAGGCATGAACCACTGCACGTAGCTCTTCTTTCATTTCATTGTATTATATTTTTATAAGCACTAAGCAGAATTTCATTAAAGGCCCTGTGTCTGCACTTGGTGAACTCTTCCCCCTCTTCCTTTTTTTCCTGTTCTGGAATGTTACATTAAATTTCCTGAGGGGATAAGAGATTCTGAGCCTTAAAAGAATGATAATAATTAAATACAATGAGCTGAAGTCTGGCTGGAGTCATTTTCTAAAGTAGAAATAGCACTGCCCTCATTTAAACAAGTGAGGTTTTTAAATGTCTTGATGAACAAATTGCAAATTCCTTCAGCATATAAATACATTTCTACACTCAAATCCTGACATGTGTCAGCTTCACTGTCGAAGAGCGAAATGACACAATGTAGATAACAGACCAGGAGGCGAACACCGCAGGAACTTCCGAGACCTGTGATGCCCAAAGCCTGGGCCTCTCGCAGTGCACACGCAGCCCCAAGTCCAGGAGCTGTGACATGTCTGAGTAAGCCCTGGGCTTTTTGCCTTCCTCCAGCTGCCTCTGGGTCCACAGATGCGAGGAGAGGCTTGTTTGCTTGCTTCACATCAGGGGAGCCCCTGACGATTTCCCCAGGCATCATGCTCGTGCTGGGACACTAGCACGGTCGTTGCTTTCCAACAAGACTATTCTGCAGCAATGACAACAAGTTCTCACCTGTCTATTGAGAGGCAAGGGCGCATTCAATCTCAGATAAAACACCCAGATTTAGAGAATCACACAATGGGCAAAAGCGAAAAACAGCATCGAAGTGGAGTTCATCGTGGGTTCAATTTCTGGCCATGCCATTCACAAGATGGGCAGATTATTTAACCCCTCCATGTCTCAGTTTCCCCACTTCTTAAATAAAGGTACATCCCCCTTTCTTTTCCTTTGTTTAATGTGATGAAACAAAAGACTGTGTAAAACTATCTGACACACAGCAGGTGTACTAATTGACTTGTTCATTCATCCATCCAACAACACTTACAGGGCACCATCCATGGTCCAGATCAAGGGTATAAAACCTTTACCTGACAGGATAGACAGGAAATACTTCAGGCCTTGTGCACACATGTCTCTGTCAAAACCACTCAGCTTTGTCACCTTAACTTTAAAGCAGCCTTGATAATATGTGAATTAATGAGTGTGGCTTTGTTCCAATAAAATATTATTTATGGACACTAAAATTTAAATTTCATACTATTTTTATGTCATGAAATATTATTATTTGATTCTCTTTTAACCATATACAAGTATAAAAACCATTCTTAGCCCGTGGGCTGCACAAAAACAGGCAGCTGGCCATCATTTGCTAACTCCAGTTCTAGACACAGTCCCCAGGCTTGGAGACAGAAGGGAAAACAGTGACAGATATCATCTCCTACTAGGAGGAGATATGCTAAACAAACAATCACACAAATAACTATCAATTACAATTTCAGCAAGTGCCAGAGAAAAAATGCACAGAGGCCCCAGGGTCTACACAACTGCACCTCATCTACAAATTTGTTATATAAGGTTAAGACCTTGTTTTCCATTTTTTCTAGTGTAGACCAGTGTAGTACTGACCATTCAATATCTAGTCATCTTTTACTACCACCTGCCCAGGTAGACATTTGGGAACTAGATTCTAGTCCCCTAGAATCTGCCACCCCATCCCCTGATCACCTGCGTTTCCCAATGAACTTGTGCACGGCCCACTGAAGTCTGCCACACTCTGCCCTGTCCATTGCATGTCCTTCTGCCCATCAGCATCTTGTGTTTGAAAAAACCTCAGCCTCATGCACAGTCATGTACATGCATGTGTCTGTGTGCCTTCTGCACGCATGGGGACAGCACACATAGACATAACACAATGTGCGTTTACTGAGTGTCTATTACATGCCAGGCAGGTGCCAGCACTGGAGATGTGCTGGTGAACAGACAGGCATGGTCTCTGCTGTCAAAGAGCTCAGAACCAGAGTGAGGGTAGGAGAAAAATAAGTCACCACGTGACAACCATGTGCCTGTAGTGCTGCGGGTGCCATAAGGTTGTAAGAAAGCAGCAGGCTGTGGAAATACATGTCCTCAGGACACAGCAGGTAGGATGTTTGCCCATCTCACTGACTGTGCTGTCCCAAGACCCTGAACAGCACCTGTCAACAGTCAGCGTTCAATCACCTGAGTGAAATAAGTAATGGGATGAGTAGAAACTACCTGTTGCTATTTCCATTCCATAAATTAGAGAGTCCTAAACTTCTCTGACTGTGACTCTAGGAGTCAAACATTTTTCACCCATCCCGATATGTGTGCATTTATCTTTTGACCAGCTCTGAAGATGCACTTCTGTATAATATACCATGCATATTATTAATTTCACTAAAATGAAACATTTAAAGGATAAAGCAGAGAAGGATATATTTTCAAGGCCATTACTTCAAAATTGGTGACCTGGATGCCCATGCCTGGGCTCCCCTAAACTTCCTGTCTGGGTTCCCACATGCTCCCTGCCCAGACTCCCCCATGCTCCCTGCCCAGACTCCTGCATGGTCCCTGCCCAGACTCCCCCACACTCCCTGCCCAGGTTCCCCGACACTCCCTCTCTGGGATTCCCCATGCTCCCTGCCTGGGCTCCCTCTCACTGGGCAAGACGCGTATTTTGCCCTGGGCCAGTAGGCAGAGTTGAATAAAGCTATAGAGATGTTCATCTTAAGGTACCTGAAAGCACCTCCCAATACCACACATGTGAACAGTGTGCACCTGCCACACGGTTCCTGGTTGTCCTGGGCTCCTGGTCCCAGAGTCAGAGCTGATCATGTTGGATGTCAGATGCCCAGAAACAAAACGCCCAAATCCCATGTGTGCCACAGTTCAGACTCCAAATCCCCACAGTCCAGATGACACACACCCCACAGTCCAGACCCTGCAAGTCCCCAGTGTGTACCCCACATGCCTCACAGTTTTGCCTTCATCTCCAACACCAGAACAGCAGCCCTAATCCAAAGCTAACTCTAAACTGACCTTTCAGAGAGGTCAGTTCCTTTTCTATGAAAAGAGCCTGCCCTCATCTGTATGTGCACAGACAGCCCTCGGTTCAAAGTGTGTGGATCCACTCAGTAAATAAAGCCTTGTAGAAAAAGTTTGACTTATTAATAGTGCAGATACTTTTTGCCAGTTATATTCTGATGAGTGGAAGTTGGTTGAATAAGCATTTCTGTGCAGTTTTGTTTTGTTACAAATCTTGATTGTGAATGGCATTCCAAAGGTCTGGCTTCAGCGCTTCCTGGGTTTTCTTCAATAGATGATTTTAATCTGTTGAGGAAAATCTACAGACCCCCACTGATGAGGAAAGTCTACAGACCCCCCTAGAGGAGTCCATCCCAGCTGTGCTGGGTAGGTCATGATATCCTGAATCATCCTTTCTCCTGTTGAAGAGGTCTGTCTCTATGCTCTGGGTGACTTTAGTGAGTGGGTCATCAATGATCACAACACATTGTCACTAGGAACAATACACACACAGATCGAGGGCATTGCTACTAACAGCAAGTATAAATCCACACCTCAAATAATCTCCTTAATTTCTGATTTGGAGAGTCTGTTCTGATTAGACTGCTGCTTTTACATTCTACCACTTGTTTGTTGTGGAGTTTCTTTGCAGGAAGTTTCTAGAGTCCTTAGTCTGACACTTGAGAGTTGTGTTAACTAGATTGGATGATATCATCCCAGTAAGCCAAGGTAAACTGCACAACACATGGATGGAATAAAAGGCACATTGCCCGCTCCTCCTGCCGCCTGGTCCCAGCTGCTCTCAGATGCCTGAGAAACCTCCATGATGCCTGGTCTCCTAACAGGTGAATGTAGGAGTGCAGCATAAACCACTTTCAAATACTGGTCATGCTTAATGAAAAAACAAAACAGAAATAGCAGTTCTGACATTATTTCCCATGTTGTTGGGGATACACTTGATACAGACTCCTCTAGGGCCCTGGACCCTGGGAGACAATCACAGAGAGGAAGAAGCTGACCTTGGACATTGCCTACATCTTGCTTCAAGACCCTCAGTACAGACTCTGTTGGGGAAGGAGAAGGAGAAGCTGATCTTGGACGTTGCCTACACCTTGCTCCAAGGCCCTGCTCTCCCCAGTCAGCACAGAGCCTGTAAGTCCCACCCCAACCTGATCTTCAAGGAAAGGGACTGATGAACTCACTGATACTAAATGTCACAGGCAAGATCGGGCGCATTCAGGGCTCAGCCTGTAATCCCGCGCTTTGGGAGGCCGAGGTGAGTGAATTGCCTGAGCCCGCGGGTTCGAGACCCGCCTGGGCAACTTGGTGAGACCTCATCTCTACAATAAATAAAAAAAATTAGCCGAGCATGGTAGCACGCTCCTGTAGTTCCAGTTACTTGGAAGGCTGAGACGGAAGGATCGCCGGAGCCCAGCAGGTCGAGGCTGCAGTGGCCGGAGCAGTCCCTGCACTCCAGTCTGGGAGACTGAGTGAGACTCCAACTTAAAAAAAAAAATAAATGTCACAGGCTAGGCACACTCATCCTCCCAGGACTCTTGGTTTTTAGACGCGTCCCTAAACATGGAAATCTCTGGGAGTGGCCAACCACATAGTTCTTGTCACAGAGACCACAGTCTGTGGGCAGTGACAGTGGCTTCCCTGGCCCCCTTTGGAACACACCCTATGGGGGACTGACTGCCATATTGAGGAAGGACCAGCCTTGCCAAAGGGGGTGAGGGGGAACGTGGACATCATCAGTGTCTCATGATCCCTCTCTGAGGTGACAGAAGTTACTCCTGGAAGGAGCTAAGTTTGACTTCAAATGCTGGCGCCCAGTCTCCCTGTTCCCAAACCTGGGCATTTGACCACTTTTTCTATTTGCAATGCTAATGATAAATCAACATTCCACAACAGTTTCCAATGAAGAAAATAAAAAAAGCTAAGGCTGGTAACACTGAATTAATGTATTCTCTGGGTTACTTACAACAGCAAAGAATTATTTGCATAGGAAGAAAATGCTAATTTTATTAAATTGCTATTAGACGGGACATTTAAACTAACTTGCAGCACTCTGCAACATTCTATGGAGTGACTTGATTTGTCAGTTCTAGCCTCTTTGGAATCATTTGCCTGCATAGCTACCACACTTGGAAAAAAAAACCAAATCCAGAACTGCCTTGCTTCCTACATGAATTGGGAAGCTGTCATTAAGAAGCATCTGCTACTTTACTGCGTTCATGTAAAAGCATTCTTGTGCCTCAGTAATAGGCCGGAGCAGATGTTTAGAGCACTGCACCCGCAGCAATACGCAGGTCGTAAAGCAGAGAGGCCGCTGCAGCCTCACTGATGATTTCATTTCTCTATCAATGAATTTCTCTTTTTTAATGGATTAAAAGTTGTGTCAAGAACCTCAACTTGTAGCACAAGCAATCCACTTGTAAGAAAGTGAACACAATATCACTTTCAGCACAAACACCGAAAGGTCAGACCCAGCTTCAACCCACGAGGAGTCTGAGAGCTGAGAAGATCCCACGCCCAGCCCTTCCACTCTGCCGCTCATCAGCCAGAGAATCTGCCATCAAGACCAATTTCTTTGTGTCAGTAAAGATCTTCAAG